AAAATATTAATTAAATTTTACATCATATAAAATTTATAAACTTGATATACTTTGTGAGATTTTTAAGCCAAATAATAATTGAAAATCTGATTTACTAGATGGAATTAAATGTGTAATATTACCAAATTTGAATAAGCGTCAATTAGTCCTATCCGTTTGCTAAAAGTTAATCAATTAATTACACAAGCAAGAAATTATTGATAAAGATAGCTTCATAAATAATAAATTATGTACATTGTTAATCATAGTTTGCTTTTCTTCTTTTTCTTCTTCAGAATCAAAGTAATTAACAAGTTGGCTAAGTGAATCGTCCCCACACAGAGGGAACAAGGTTCCATTTCGCAGCTTTCGCTCCAATTCCCTACTACAATTTGCCGCTTGGAAAGTGTTTGCATGACTCCCTGTACGAGGTTTGATATTTATAAGGTTTAGTGATTATCAAAACCCCCCATATTGACGTTCCTGTAAAAATGGTCAATAACATCCTTTAATGCAAAATAATCATAATCATATATATCATAAACCACAGTAGCAAACAATATACTTTTTTCAATCTTTTTAAATAATTATTTTTTTCGTGTAAGGATAAGCCAACATTTTGATCTTACTCATAAACAACTAATTATTAATACTTTATAATTTAAATTATAAAAAATAAATATTCGTATATATTAATTACTAAATTCCTCTTAACAACAAGTCACTTATTCATTATTCATATAAGTTAATTTATTTATTTAATGTATGAATTATCAATTTAACTATTTAATATTATGAATATTTTTAAATACAATTTATTTATTTATAAAAAAGCAGGAGAAAGTATGTTAGATAACAAGCTATGGGAAATCACTATATGAATCATGATTGGTGTCTTTGAGAAAACTTTGGAAGATTTGAATTTGAAAAGTTTAAACTGAAGTGATTTTAACCATTAATCACGGCAATGTTAATTGCAAGGATCGTGATTGCGGAAAAGCTAATTACTAATTACACATTTTCCACGTATATATGGAGCCCTAGATTGATGGTGTATGCATGCATATTGTTCCCACGTAGCATATACTGTGACATGCTTTGGACTTTAATCTTTGGCTGGGGGAAAAAACGTAGCCATATGGTTCCCAAAATGCATTGTTTTCGGCCACATGGTTATGGTCCTTACTCGTCAATCTTTTCCTTGCAATTTCTCTTAATTGTCGTGACATAGAAGCCACAAAATAAGCAAAACACAAGAATACGTTAGTATCGGACATCAACCTTTAAACCTTTGAGGTGTTGTTGACCTTGAGGACCCACCACCATCCAATATCCATGAGCCACCTTTCTATCTTTGAACGCTCGTGCATTAACTTTAAAAAACTTGCACAAAAATTGAATGAGAGTAACATAAATTAACTTCACGATATATAATATATTATAATAAATATATTACTTGAAAAGGAAATGAAAAAGTGTCTCCTTTGTCATGGTTATAGGTAATTTTAAGCCCAATATTGGTAACCACGCAAGCATCTAAGCAATAAATGTGATGGCTAACATTTTCTTCCTGTTTGAGACTTGAGTACGACCCCAGAAAATAAAATTTGATTTTGTCCCACAAAAATGAAGTGGCTCAAAATCACTTCAGAATTTCATATCTTTTTCTTTTGGGCACTGTTTGATATGCTTCAGTAATATCTTAGCATTTTAATTTGGGTCTTTTTCAAGAAATACTTTTAAACATAACCCTAACTTCTTAATTTAAAACCTTAATTAAGGCATAAGTTCAAAAGTTATTTTATATATAAAGTCGTGCTTCCGGTGTAATTAGGTAAACAATAAGCTTTTACGAGAATTATGTCAGGAATTTTACAATAAAAGTTAATAAAATGAACTAAAAGGAAATTATCTATTCATAAGATTTTTTAATGTAACTAATTAAGTTCTATAATACCCTAAGAGACATTTTGTTCGCTAAATATTTATTGAAACTTGCCAAAATTCTCAATAATCTCGCTTTTACGTGTGAGTTCGCCCAAAAAAAATATTTCTTAGAAATGATTTAATATAGCACTCGGAACATATATCCTTGAGGGCTGCAACATTGACAATATTAACAACGTACCATCTCAGAGTCGCCTTAACCAAATCTTTGACTTTGACATAATTTACTATACATAGTTAAGAAAACTCAAAATATTAAAATTTTGGAAGTTTAGAAAAAGAGAGAAAAAAATAATTTAAAAGGCTTAAGAAGGAAGGAAAAGTAAGGGTGAACCTCTTCCTTTCTTTTCTGTTTAATATTAAAAAAATAAAAATTTAATATATAAATGATATTATTACTTTTTTATATTATATATATAATGTAAAAAAATATTTAATCTAATAAATAGAAATATAAATGATAAGCTCTACTATATAAGTTAGTGAGACTCAAATAAAGAAACTAAAAAACTAAGATTAAAAGAATTTTAGAGTTAGAAAAACTTCTTAATTTTTTTTATATTTAATTAACTTCTAAAAAAAGTCAGTGATCCCAAAACTCTCTTTTCTCCTTCCCTCTTTTCTTCAACAAGAAACTCAAATAAAAATTTTAAAAAATATATAATAAAATTTAATAAAAAGAAATTACACTAATGAGTTTGAACCACATTGATCAATAGATTCACTGTACTTTTTACTTATAAACTTTTCACTTAAAACTTGTACTTTAATATTAATGTCAATAAATTATACTTTAATATTTTTTGATATATAAATAAAATAGAAAAATAATTATTATATTAATTATTTAATACCTAATTTTTTTAGCATCGAGTAATTTAATATACCTAAATAATTTTCATTTTTATATAAATTTCAAGTATATAGTACACTAGTTTTGATGTATATCAATAAACTATCGAATACTTAAAAGAAATTATAAATATAATTTTTTTAATTCAACGGTGAATTGTGATTGAATTATTTAATCGAGATTATTAAATAATATAGGAATAAATGTAATTATATGATTGTAAATAGATACCTCCTTTAGATGCATATTTATTAATAAAAGAGAAGAAGAGGTCCCAACAACGATCAAATACTGTTAAGATTGATTCTGATAGATCAAATATGATTACGCAGAATCTGTACCTTAGAAGCACTAATTCATGCGTACCTTATCACGAACAGTTTGATTTATGTAATTTGTCAACTAAGAACAAGTTTTTACTATTCACTTTTTCTGATGGAAAAAGGGTGGCTTTTAAATTTTAATTAATCGTTGAACAAGACTCCATATAAAAGCTGCGTAGTGCTCTTTTGTTTAAATATCGATCACACAATATCATTACGTTCATTATAATTTATAAACGATTAAATCTCTCAAACATATCAATTAGGGCTCGATTATTGTATGAAAAAAGTTTGGTTAAAAAACATACTTTAGTCTCAATTGAAAAAGAGGAAATTATCTAATTCATGGTTTGTTAACATAAGCTAATTTTATGTAATCTGTAAGTTATTTGATTTTGATATGTTTAATCATGCAGGTCAATCTTCTGCCATGGGACGGCTTACGTCAAATCAAACCAAATCAGATTAAAATATATGCAAAGTTTAATTGTATTAGTCATGCTTACATAATTTATCATCTATCATTTTGGTAATCCCTCGCCCCACAATATCATTTTATAATTTCCACATCAACAAAATGATCGATGATTCAGTATTAATCCTGTTATAGATATTGTATCAATAAATTTTACATTAATATGATCATGTTGTATGAACAGATTTACAAAGTTTATTGATAAAAATTATACTAATCGAGGTAAATTCAAATTTCAATTATTAATAAATAAATTTTTTACTAAAATATAAATTAAAACTTGCGATTATGAATACTGAACCTGTGTCACATCATAAGCTTAGGATGAGCGATGGAGATTAGATTAAATAATTTAGATTAGGCCCATAGTCTTCCCTTTTGTGTAACTAAATCTGAAAAAGCAGAAAGAAAGAGGAAAAAAGAGAGAAAGAAGAACAAAAGGTCCCTATTAGACCCAAAAGCTTGACATTGACCCTCTCTCACCCTCATATGCTTGAGTGGGCACGGCATCTCTCTCACCGTGAAAGACAAGCACTCAGAAAGTTTTTGAAACAAAATAAAAATGACAAAAGTGAAATTTAATAGAAATATTTGATAGATCCATAAATAATTTACACCTCTTCAGTTCTTCACTGTCCTCCCACATAGAATCTATACCCACCATGTGTTTCATCCATGCCCAAACACAAGGACCCCACAAAACATTGCACAGGTATTCTCCAACTTTTCATGTTTAATTTTCTGTTTTCTGTTACACTACACTCTAACATACGTTTCATTTTAAGTACAAAATAACACTTCTATTTCTTCTCTTACAACACAAACACAATTTTGCTTAATCTTCTGTTTGAAAGAAAAGGAAATGCTTCAATTTTTCTTTTTACTTACTTTTAGTTCTTTCTAAAATTTGACTTTTTTACCATATATAAAAATGATTTATATTCATTTTCTTAAAATCAAATCAAATACTTTCACTTAAGTTTACACTTTTATTCATAAACATTTTACTAGTATTAACACATTTAATATTTTTTATTATATTACATCACTTATAGTATTTATTATTTTTACATCTCTCTAAGTGTATATATTCAACTAAAATTCTATAAACTATTTTCCTAAAGCTTATCCCTTGGTGAAATACATTAAAGTCCAAAACTAATCTCAGTTTCTTAAAGGCGAAAAGATTATCACAACACACTTTGTAAAAAAAAAAATCACCTCTTATTATAATATCTAACCAGTAACTGTATTGTAAACTTTATTCTTCACCCAACATCACAACATAACATTGACCCCTCCACAAATAAAAGAAATAAATTAATAACATGATCATCCCCACAAAAACACCACTAGTAGTGTCTTCCTCCTTATCAACTCAAACTCCAACACTTACAATACAACCTCACTACTCTCTCTCTCTTCTCTTCCAAGACTGAAACTTTCCCTTGTCCTGACACACTCACTGGAATAAATAATTGTGGGGTTCAACAACTAAAGCCAAAACCTTCAAGTCTTTTTTATTACCTCACTGCAAAAAGTTCCAACTACAAACCCAAAACTGCTACCTTCAACACAAACACACATAAACCATAACATCACATTTATCATCATCATAGCTACTTCTCTATCTTATTATTTCTATTATTAATATATTAATTTTTTTTTTACATTTCTATTCTTATATATGCTCGCCGGCGATGCCCACGCCGGTAAGCACAGCGAGGCAATGCTTGACGGACGAGGCGGCGCGTGCGTTAGACGACGCTGTCACCGTGGCGCGTCGACGCAGCCACGCCCAGACGACGTCGCTCCACGCCGTCTCCGCCTTGCTGGCACTCCCCTCCGCCGCGCTCCGCGACGCCTGCGCCCGCTGCCGGAGCTGCTCCTACTCGCCGCGCCTTCAGTTCCGAGCGCTGGAACTCTCCGTCGGGGTCTCCCTCGACCGCCTCCCCACCACCAAGTCATCCGCCGTGGATGGCGGCGCCGAAGAGGAGGGTCCGCCGGTGTCGAACTCGCTCATGGCAGCGATCAAACGGTCTCAGGCGAACCAGCGTCGCCACCCTGACAGCTTCCACTTGATGCAGATGATGCAGCATCAGCAACAGCAAACGACGTCGTTGCTTAAGGTTGAGTTGAAGCACTTCATTCTCTCGATTCTCGATGACCCTATTGTGAGTCGTGTGTTTGGTGAAGCTGGCTTTCGAAGCTATGATATTAAGCTTGCTTTGCTTCAACCTCCTCCACCTTCTAGAATGTTCTCTCGCTCCACACGGTTGTCTCCTCCGGTTTTTCTTTGTAATCTTGAACCGATTCGGAACGGTTTGGGGCACCCTTTTGTGGGGTTTGATGAGAATTGCCGAAGGATTGTTGAGGTGGTTGGGAGGAAGAGTAAAAGGAATCCTCTTTTGATGGGGGTGTATGCAAAGAGTGCTCTTAAGAGTTTCGTGGAGTGTGTGCAAATGGGTAAAGGTGGAATTTTGAATAGTGAACTTGGTGGGTTGAGTGTGGTTTCGGTGGAGAAGGAGATTGGTGAATTTGTGAGGGAAGGTGGGAGTAATGAGAAGAAGATGGGGTTGAGGTTTGAGGAGGTGGGTTGTTTGGTGGAGCAATGTTCGGGTGCTGGTGTCGTTGTTTGCTTCGGGGAGATTGAGGTTTTTGTTGGGGAAATGGGGAATGATGATGGTGGTGGTGGTGTTGGATTTGTTGTTTCGCAGTTGACGAGGTTTTTGGAGGTTCATGGGGGTAAGGTGTGGCTGTTGGGTGTGGCGGGAACCTCTGAAGCATATTCTAAGTTCTTGAGGTTGTTCCCTACTGTTGACAAGGATTGGGATCTACATCTTCTGACCATGACCTCTGCCACCCCTTCCATTGAAGGACTCTACCCTAAATCCAGGTGGGTTTCTCTTTCTTTCTCTTTTCTCCATTGGTTTGAGTTTGTACTTGTCTTCACTTGAAACTTGGAACTAAACCAACCTATGTGTACTGTTGTAGTCTGTTTTGGATGGGTTTGGTCTTCCACTTTTGGATATTTATATATATTATATTGTGTAGTATTATAATATTATATATATGAAAAGGTTGTAGTATGTTTAGATGTGTGTAACAATATTTTTTATAGAGAAAAAAGTTGACATGTGAAGATGGTTATTGACAAATAAATGATCAGGTGTGAATTGAAGGATTCCAACTCGCTTGTGTTGTTGAAATCTCTCACTTGCTTCGGGACTTATTTTTGTGATCTAACTGGTTTGGCTTTTAGTTGCATCCCTTTCTTCGTCTTCTTTTTCCTCCTTTTTCTGCCACTTCTAAAGTTGTGTGGTTACAGTGGAAACAGAAAGGAAGTAGTTGTTTAAAAAGAAAAAAAAAATCTTATTATAAAATTTTAATTTATGATATCTATCTTTTCTCTTTTTTCTTAAATATATTTAGAGCATACTGTAATGAAGTTCATGATTCAATTTAGTCTGTTTTCATAGAAAAAATTAATTTTGCTGTGATGCTATATGTTGGGAACAAGTTAATTTGAATTTTGCGGGGTTTAGGCCAATTCCATTCGTCCAACCTAGAGTGGCTCCAATCAGTCTTCTTCATTACCATGATCTATATCTTGGCATGCATAGAAGGATTTACATAGATTTATAGATGCTTACGCATTTGCAGGCTTTTGCTGAATGCTATGATAAATGCTTCTTTTTCTGTACCCCTGGCCCACAGGCCCCCTCTTCTCTTTTGGGTTATGAATGTAGTTTCGACCCTTTAGATGATTCCTTAAGAGGGCCTTTTTTTAGAGCCCATCAAGCTCAATAGCCTGTTGTGATGTATATATATTTGCCTATAATATGATAATAGTGTATATATGTATATTGGTGTGATTGACGATGCTTTTTAAGTCTATCTCATCATGTGCACTTTAGCTTCTGACAGTTGTTTGCACGTTGGATTTAAAAAGTTCCCACTTCATGGTAAACTTGCAGCTTGATGGGGTCCTTTGTTCCATTTGGTGGGTTCTTTTCTACACCTTCAGAGCTGAAAAATCCCCTAAGTTGTACGAATGCGTCATCTTTAATTCGGTGTGACGCATGCAATGAAAAGTATGAACAAGAAGTTGGTGATATTTTGAAGGTAGGTCCTGCTACTTCGGCATGTGGTTACTCAACAAGCTTGCCTTGGTTACAAAAGGTTAATGTGGACTCGGATAGAGGATTGGATGTGGCAAAGGTGTGTGTTTTGATCACCTAATCTTGTTTTCCCTTGTTCAATGCATGCAGAGAAATTCACATCCTCACACACATACATGCAACTTCTTGCGGCCAATTGCTGTACTCACCCACTAAAATAATTTAGAGGTACGCAATAATAATAATAATAATAATTGCCTACAATGGTAAAGATAAAATAAAATTACACATTTCCCATTAAGAAATCAAACCGAGAACTATATCATACAACACGTTCAGGATGGAGCTAGGCATAGTCTATAGTGTAGACTATTTTTTAGGAACATAATAACGATAAGCTTTCTAACTACGTTCTTGTCTGCATTGGTTGAAGGGACTGCGTCTGAATTGAATCTTAAATTATCTTTATTCGAGAAAACTCACGTAGAGCATCTGCATAAGTTCTTATAAAATATTTAATTAAAAAAAATATATTGTGAATTATATTAAATGAGAAACCCTCAATTTGGTCCTCTAAAGTTATTTTTGTTATTATGAGACTAAAAAAAATTAGTTGCCAAATTAGTTTCTCGAAGATTAAATTATCTCCGTATTAGTTTCTAGAGATTTATTTATCACCAAATTACTCTCTCAATGATTTAAATGGTCATCATTTTTGTCCATATTAAGGACTAAAATGGTATAAATAAAATAATTTTTGGAGGACTAATTTGTTGACAAATTAAATCCTCGAGATACTAACTTAGTGATAAAATCTTTTTTTGAAGGACCAAAGTGGTAGTAAAAAGAATCTTTTTTTGAGAGACTAATTAGTTGACAAATTTCTTTAAGTGTTGATAAGACATAACTTTGGAGACTAAATAGAGGGTTCTCTCTATATGAAATTGCATTTTCTCATATCAACCCAAAATTAATCCTTTTCCTTCGTGTTCATTTATTTCTCTCTTGATTAAAATTCTTGGATACTCCATTGTCAATAATCATGTTTTGATCCATATGCCATGCTTCATTAATGCAATTTTTAACTGTATTTATTTAAGAATGAACTGCATCATCCAGTGCAGACTAGTGAAGGAAACACAAGTTTGAATGCTAAGATCTACGGATTGCAAAGGAAATGGAGTGATATTTGTCAACGTCTTCATCAAAACCGATCATTACCTGAATTTGAAATCACCAAATCAAGGTTCCAGGCTCCATCTCATGAAGGACTTCAATTTGGTTCAGGAAGTAGCAGCAAAGGTCCATCCCATAATGAAATCCAATATTCTAATCAAATTTCCTACATGTCTAAAGAGTTACAAAGTGCACTTCCATTCAAACAGATACTACCAATTTCAGTACCTTATGATACTGTTAGTATCAATGATGAAGTTGACCACATACAAAAAGTTTCAAAGACTTGGGCACCCCCTTCTTCTAAGACCAATATGAGTCTCCCAGACCTCACATCATCTTCATCACTCACTCCTGTGACCACGGATTTGAGATTAGGAACTATATATGCATCAGCGACAGCTACTCATGAGCCGGATACGCCGAAAGTAAGTGATCATAAGAAGCATCTTCAGCACTTGTCAGACTCGCTTTCAACTGATTTTGATGCCTTGAATGAGAATACTTCACACCAGATAGCTAGATCTTCTTCCTGCTCTGGTCCAAATTTGGAAGGGAAATTTGAAACAGTGGATTTCAAGTCACTTTACCATCTTCTCACTGAAAAAGTAGGGTGGCAGGATGAGGCTATATATGCTATCAATCGCACGGTGTCCCTTGGTAGATCCGGTGCTGGAAAGCGCGGTACCTCACATGTTAGAGCAGACGTATGGCTTGCTTTCCTTGGACCAGATAGGATTGGAAAAAGAAAAACTGCTTCAGCACTTGCAGAAATTTTATTTGGAAACAAACAAAGCCTAATCTCTGTGGATTTGAGCTCCCAAGACAGGTTTTACCCATCAAACTCGGTTTTTGAATTCCAAAATTCATATTGCCATGATGTGCTTATGAGGAAGACAGTTGTGGATTACATTGCTGGGGAGTTGAGTAAAAAGCCACATTCTGTTGTCTTTCTTGAAAATGTAGATAAAGCTGATTTTGTGGTGCAAAATAGTTTGTTCCAAGCGATAAAAACAGGCAAATTCCCTTACTCACACGGAAGGGAAATCAGCATCAACAATGCAATAATTGTTGTAACCTCTGCTGTGTTGAAAGGAAGTGGTTCTTTTGATCTGGAAGAGCATAAACTTTTTCCTGAGGAAAGAATCCTAGAAGCTAAAAGATATCAAATGCAATTATCACTTGGACATGCTTCTGAGAATGCCAAAAGGAGTGGTTGCACAAATGTAAAGGTTGCACAGAAAAAAGGGTCCTCCGAAACAATATTTCTGACTAAAAGAAAGCAAATTGAATGTGCTGAATTCAAGGAGAAAGCGTCATGCAAGACACTGAAACAGGTGGAGGAGGCATCAAGGTCCTATCTGGATCTGAATATGCCTCTGGAGGAGGTTGAAGAGGGCAATGATTACAATGATCATGAAAGTGAATCCATAGTTGAAAACCCTGAAGCCTGGTTAAATGATTTATGCGATCAAATTGATGAAAAAGTGGTGTTTAAACCATTTAATTTTGATTTGCTTGCTGAGCAAATAATAAAAATCATTGACATGCAATTTCGAAAGAAGTTTGGATCAGAGTTTATGCTGGAAATTGAGTATGATGTTATGGCACAGATTCTTGCAGCTGCTATCTTATCAGACAAGAAAAAAGCAATGGAGGATTGGGTAGAACATGTTCTTGGTAAAAGCTTTGTCGAAGCTCAACAAAAGTACCACCCTTCACCTGAATATGTATTGAAACTGGTTCACTGTCAAAGAATTTTTGTGGATAAACATCCTCTTGGAGTATGCCTTCCAGCTAAAATTAATCTGAACTGAATTTTTGCTCTCACTATGTATTTTGTAATTACTTGTAAAATGTAGCTTTAGGTATATAGCATTTTTTGGCTAATCAATCCCACAATTTTTTTCTTTTGTGGTGATCATTGTGATGCAATTTTTATGGTAAAAGGATGTGTATCTTCATCGGTTTTCTTATTTACTCTAATGTCTTTTGTAGTGATTGCTGTAGGAGTAAATTGTGCAACTAATATTCTTAGCGAATAATAAAAATGAAAGAAACTATTGAGGCAATAATAGCATAGAAGAGATTGCAAGCTGCATGACAATAGTGTTGTGCTTGCGGGGAGGGAAAGGCACAAACATTAAGTTGATGTTCAATTTTAAATTTATTTTAAATCACCTTATCAAATCGATTATATAAAGAAATAAAATTTTGTAGAAAAAAAAATATTTTTTTTAAGAAAAGAAAAACATATTTAGAATTCAAAATTAAACATTTAGAACCCAAAATTGACTATAATCAATTATAACTAATCACTTTTTTAGATATTAAAAAAAAATTTCTAAGATGTCACTATAATTATTATTTTATAAAGAAATAAAATTTTTTAGAAAAGAAAAATATTTTTTTTTAAAGAAAAAAACTCCAGTCTTTGAGTTTGCAGATCAACTCACGGTTATACAAACAAGATTCTTACATAGAAAAAAAATTAACTTTAAAATAAAAGAATAGATTTGTATTGTACTATTTTACCTGCCATATTCCTTATAGAAGTTATTACACTCCTAAGGCAAGTATGTGACACAATCATTAATCTTACATAGAAAACAAATGTTCTATTATTTATTATAGTCATTCATTTGATCTTATCCTTGCATGCTAAAAATATAGAGAAGACCTTGCCCACATGAAAATAAGTAAGTGTATACTTGAGTTGCTCAAAATTTTTATGAACATCTGCAAAATCAGTATCAAGTTTTAATTCAATGACAGCAGTGAAAACCTCAAGCATCCATGGATTGCAGCCATTGAGGTGATTCCTTCAATATTCTACAGAACAAATAGAAAAGAAATTTCTTACCATTAAAATATAGTAAACCCAACAAAATACAGAAATAAGAGTTTTCCTCCAGACAACAATTCAGCCGAGGTAATGAAAGATGCATGGTAAAATCAAAACAGAAAAGTAAGTCAAGGTTGATAATAACTAAAAATTATAAACTAATATAGAACTTTAATATGTTTACAACTCTTGCATGTTTAAAAAATATTAACTTGAGAGTAAAGTCTTTGAACATGGTGGTTCAAATATTTTGGTAGCAAAGCCTTACAAGTTTCTTCTACCTTAACATGCTGATCCTTACACTACTTAGGAACAAAATGTTATAAAATATAAAAGAAATAATTTAAAAGGTAATTTTACCTGGAAATACTTTATCATTATGTCTGATTTTCTACCAAAGTTTAGACCCTATCAGATAAGCTACTTAATCATCCGTTTTAACCAGTCCTCATAACAATGGTTGCTGCACGTGCATCAAAGTCCAGACGTAGGTTCATCCATGAAAATAATAGAAGGGTTTGCTACAAATTCCACTGCAATTGTCAAACACTTTCTCAACTCTGTCGATAAGACATAAGAACAGGGCATACCATTACCAACCAAAGTCTGTCTTAAACTATCAAGCTTTGCTTGTTTCATAACTTGTTGAATAAACTCCTGCAAAATATTTCATTGCATATCAGTGAATTGGTTATACATTATACACTAACATGGTTCATTATCATTACTAGTTCAATAAATAACTTACATGCTTCTTCTCAAGGCTTATTTCTTTTGGAAGTCGTAATGATGCAACCACAGGGACTCCATAAATGTGAGATGAGGAGAATTATGTCATGTGTCTCTAACTATGATCACTAACTATTTAAAATATATAATATAAGGCTTATATTGACTAAGAAACGTAATTACTCACTAACTAATCACATACACATTCAACTTCAATCACCAAGTACTTAAACTAATCACAAACTAAATTATATTATATTTATTGAAAATCTGGATCTAGTAGAATGAATAAAACTTATGAAAATATATAGGACAAGTCTAAAATAAGGCAGGTTTGAGTTTAGGTTGGAAATTGAATATGATGTCATGGCACAAATACTTGCAGCTACTTTCTTATCAGACAAAAAAAAAGTAGTGGAGGATTGGGTTGAACATGTTCTTGGTAGAAGCTTTGCTGAAGCTCAACAAAAGTATCACACTTCACCTGAATATGTATTGAAACTGGCTAGCTGTCAAAGAAGTTTTGTGGATGAATATGCCTTTGGAGTATGCCTTCCAGTTAGAATTAACTTGAACTGAATTTTTGCTCTTACTATGAATCTTATAATTACTTGTAAAATGTAGCTTTTACTAATGTAGCATTTGGTAGTATGTAACATTTTTCGGCTAATCAGCATTGGGTAGTATGTGGCATTTTTCGGCTAATCAATCCCACAATTTTTTTCTTTTGTGGTGATCGTTGCAAGAGTAAATTGTGCAATTCATGTTCTTAGCCAACAATAGAAATGGAACAGATTATAGAAGCTGCAAGCAGCATGAAATTAGTGTTTGTGTCCGTGGGGTTTCTGGGTTGGGCTTTTGACCTGAGTATCTTCCTTGAACAGAACAATGAAAAAATAGTTATGTTTTTTTAATGAATTAAAAGTAGAATTGTCTCTAAATTTCTAAACATACATACTTAATGGGAGTAAACATTCATTCTCCAAATAACAAATCACAAGCTTAAAACTAGAAATTATGTTTGGATACTCCCAATCAAAATTGATTGTCTTAAAATTTACATTTGAACCAACTTGATGAATTGTAACTTTTATGTTGAGTTTAAATTTTTTTTACTACAGAGTTATTTTTAAAAGTAAAGTTTTTAAACATAAATCAAGTTACTTTAAATTTACTTTTAAACAAAATTAATTATACATAATTTACCCAGAGCTTAAGCTTGTTTACCCAGTCAAAATTACTTAAATGGTATGGCCTCTCAATGCTCTCTAACAGTGCTTCTTTTGGAATGGTTGCCAATGAAAAAAATATATATAAAAACTCCCATTAATACTGCTCATACTTGTTATAAATTGTTATAAATGTAATAAAATGTTTTAATTTATATAATTATTAAAATATTTGTATTTGTTTCGATATGAGAGTTTAAAAAAAAAAGTTACAATTTTAATAAATTTTTTTAAAACATGTTGTTTTACACTTTATTATAATATTAGTTAGGAAAATATTTTTTAATAAATTTTTATCATTATAAAATTACGTTTAAGTGTCTACCTCATTAAAAAATTAAGTTTACCACATTTTATTTATAGCTCACCCTTAGTTTATAAATATCAAAAGTTTTAGTTTAATAAATTATTTTTCATAAACTTTTTATCAATAATATATCTATATATATATATATATATTTATTTTATTTGTATGAATGTGATAATTATAATGGTTAAGATACTATATATAAATTTTTATTTAAATTTGTTAACTAACAATAATTTTAGATCTTAAAAGTAATGAATAAATAAGTTTATATATATATATATATATATATATATATATATATTCTTACTTAATTTATTTTTAATTATTGAGAGATTTGTCACTTTTACTTGAATTTTAATCTAGTTTGAGTTTGTGTAGTATTTGATTTATATAAATCTTGATCTCTCTTCCTTACAAGTATGAAAATATAGTTTAAGCTTAAATAATCTCTTTAAACTTTTAAACATATATATTCTTCTTATCATCTACATTCAAGGATGCACATTAAAAAATAATAATTTTTTTATTAAAAATTATAATATTAAATATTATTAATAGATTAGATTTTATAATATTTTTATCAATTTTATAAAAAAATTAATATATATAAACTCTTATTGAGTGTTAACATTAAAAAAATGTTAAAATATATGGTTTTGATATTTTTTGAACCTAAATACCAAATTTAATTTAGGTATGTATAAAGGTGTTTATTGACCAATACAATTTAGTTTCGAATAACATGGTAGCTTAATGTTTATTCTTGTATTCTTTGTTAGGAAAGTTAACAATATTTTTTCTAACACACTCTTTATTATTGATTAAAATTTATTATAAACTAAAAAAAATAAAAAGATATTAATTTAAGAATGAGATTCACATAATTTTTATAATTTTTAGTCAATAATAAAAAAAAAGATATATTTTAAAGCATGTAATAGAAAACATATTACTTATATATTTTAAAGCATGTAATAGAAAAAATGTGCTTATCCATAGTGCTCTCTTTAAATGGCATGGCCTCGATCTCAATGCTCTCTAATAGTGCTTCTTTTGGAATAGTTGCCCAATGAGGAAAAAAAATAATATAAAAACTCTCATTAATGCTACTCATACTTGTTATAAATTGTTATAAATGCAATAAAATGTTGCAATTTATATAATTATTAAAATATTTGTATTTGTTTCGAAGAGTTTAAGAAAAAAAGCAAGAATAATAATAAAGTTCAAATAATAGTATTTGGAATGTCATTAAAAGTATATTGTTAGGTAAATTGTCATGCTTAATCTATTTTGTACGAACAATTAAAGTTACTTCACCGGTGCTTAATCGTCACTTGAAATAGTACAAAGCGAATTATATTTTAATCATATTGAAATTTTCTGTGTGCAAGTTTGGATCAGAGTTCATGCTTAAAATTGAGTATGATGTCATGACACCAATACTTGTAGTTGTAAGACAAAAAAGGAAAATAGAAAAGGTACTCCCCTATATCAAAGCTAACAAAATTTCACCCACCCACCACTCTAGTGTTGAGAAAGATATCAAATATAATAGTAATAAGCGGAAGCAAACTGGATCTTTCTTGGCTCTACACAATTTTCATGCAATTGATAATAAACACAACATAGAGAAAGTAAACAAGAAGACCAAAAGTCTTCCTGGAACCACCAGAGATCAACATAAAATACAAACTTCACTGGCAAAGTGGATAACAACGCAATAAACCTTCAACGGGTATTCAGCTATAACAACAAG